CCCCGACGTCGACGTCGCGCACGAGTTTCTTCTAGGCTACGCCGTGGAGGCGGACAAGGCGCGTGAAGGCCACTTCACAACCTGGTCCCCTTACCGGATCAAGAGCTTCGAGGTCAGGAAGTTTGGCCCCAAGGAAATTCCTCGCCCACCGATAGATCTGACGGGGATCCCTGGAAGTTCCAAGCTGTACTTTTTCACGGGAACAGAGGACGAGCAGGAGGACGTGCAGGATACCTTTAGTCTTGTGTGGGCTACTAGTGTGGGGGTGCAGACAGACGATTTTGTGGTGGGAGCGGCCGGAGACAAGGTGTTGACGGCTAGGAAGTGGGTGGTAGACGAGTCCAGGGCAAGGAAATGGGCCGCCCCCAAGAAGTTCACCAGATCTTGGAAGTTGCGGGTTCGGGGCGCATCGTGCTACTGCTCGACTTGCCGAATAGGCTGCTACGGTGACTGCATGGTAGCGAAGGTGTACCCCGACTTGGTTGGCGAGGTGATGGAGAAGTCGGGAAAAGAGATGGTTGGGAGACGCACGCTTGGGACTCAATTGACCGGCGTTATTCTTCCGGTCATATCTTCGGACGAGTCCCCAGTGGCGCCTACGCTTGACGAGAGCATGGGGGAGGTGGGTGGGGGAGGGGAGAAGGAAGATGAGGGAGAGGAGGAGGACGATGAGGGGGAGGAGGAGGAGGAGGAGGAGGGGGAGGAGGAGGGGGAGCGGGAGGAAGCGCAATACGTAAGCTCAAGAGGTCGCGTAAGTATCGCGAAGAAGAGGTTCCCGGAGGTGGGCTAGGGATGGATGGATGTGTTGGCTGCCAACCACAAGAATGGAACTCGTCGACGTTTGTTGTTCTTCTTGCTTTTTCTGGTGTGGTGTCGAACGCAACGTTTGCAAGTATTGTGCGCTACCCTTTACTCTTGGTGGTAATAATATGGGCAAATCCCCGTTTTGTCCCCGGGGGGGGACACAAATTTCGTGTCCCCTGGTGGGAAGTGGCCAGTAAAATGTGCAAAAACTGTAGGGTTTGTTCTACCGGAACAACAGTAGTGGTCTGAAAAGCGCATAAAATGAGCAAGATATGGGGAAATCCCCGTTTTGTCCCGGGGGGGGGGGCATAAAGTTCGTGTCCCCTGGTCGGAAGTGGCCAGCAAAGTTTGCAAAAATTGTAGGGTTTGTTCTACCGGAACAGCGGTCCAGAGAGCGCTTTAAATGGGCAAGATATGTGCAAATCCCCGTTTTGTCCCGGGGGGGGGGGCATAAAGTTCGTGTCCCCTGGTCGGAAGTGGCCAGCAAAGTTTGCAAAAATTGTAGGGTTTGTTCTACCGGAACAGCGGTCCAGAGAGCGCTTTAAATGGGCAAGATATGTGCAAATCCCCGTTTTGTCCCCGGGGGGGGACAGAAAGTTCGGTTCCCCTGTTTTGCTTTTCCCTATAAATTGAGTAAGACACATCACCAAGTTTCGCTGAAAACCCACCTTCCCGACCCCGGATAAAAAATCTGAGACCGAATATCGTATCTACACACCGACAGCAACCCACAACTGAATTTTCAGAGCTTAGGTGGTTTGGCAACATTATCAATCTCAACCCCTCCCCGGCATATACCAGAAGGCGCCCCAGGTGTCAGAATGGGGTATTGAGTCGTTGGGGGATTGCGTTAGGAATGCGCGCGCGCTGGATTTTCGAGTACCCGCATTTGTCCGAGAATGGCGTGGGTATACCCACTTTTTTTGTCCATTTCCCTTCCTTATCAATTTTAGGACCGCCTACATTTTAAGATATTTTAAGATAATCTAGAAAAAGAACAGGGAGGGGGCACGCAGACCCTATCCCTAACCCAAACCCTAACCCCAAAGCACGGATTGAATACTTTATCCCATATGTTTGCGTAATCGATTTTGCTGCGTAGACTTACGTAATTTTAGGAGTTTTTTCCGTGCGCGAAGCGCGCGTGCGAAAAGAAAAACGGAGCGATAGCGGAGTTTTTTTTTCGCAAAAAAACTGTTTTAGATGGGTCATTTTGTTTCCCCGCCTGGGTTCTGCGCACTTTGAATAACACCGCCTGTCAGCCCGACCCCTGAATTAATTACTGTTCTCAAATTGATGTCCATGTGTGTGTGTGTGTGTGTGTTTAGTAATAGCATCGACGGCGCTAACCGGCTGACCAATGAAAAGACGTCAGTCTTAGTGCGGT